ACAGACCAGGTATAAGCCCATGCCAGTCTAACTTGGAGCCTGACTGGGGAGCAGAGCCAGAGAGGGGAAGGCGCTTGCTTATTTCTCACAGAACGGCAGCACACTGCCTTGAGTGCTGAGGCTGATGGATGGAGTGCCCGAGGACTGCTAACTCTTCATGGGCTTCCCACAGAGGCAGCCACACCATGGTGGGAATCAGCAAGCGGCTTGAAGGCTTGACCCAGGACCTGCAGCAACTGCAGGAGAGTGAGCAGCACCTGGATCACCTGATGCACATCTGTACCACACAGCTGCAACTGCTTTCTGAGGACTCAGACAGCCAGCGATATCCTTGGATTGGCCAGGGACTGTGGAGGGCAGGCTTGGCCAGTGGCACTGTACTGAGACGGTAGAGCTTACCCAGGGCTCTGGAGTCTAAAAGGTTCCAGCTCTGGAAGCAAGGCCTAGCTCTGCACTTACTCACCTAGGATACTGAACAAGCTACTCCACTTTTGTTTTTGATTTTCAAGACGGGAGTCTCTGTAGAACGGTCCTGGCTGTCTTGGAACTCACTCTGTAGACCAGGCTGACCTCCAGCTCACAGAGATCCGCCTGCCTCAGTCTCCCAAGTGCTTGTATTAAAGACATGTGCCACCACTGCCTGGCTAAGTTACTTGGCTTTTATGGGCCTAAGTTTCATCTATAAAAGAGAATAGTAATACTATTTCCAAAACTGTATATACTAAAATAGAAAACACCTGGGTGATGGTGGCACACACCTTTAATTCCAGTACTTGAGAGGCAGGTGGATCACTGTGACTTTGAGGTCAGCCTGGTCTATAGAGCAAGTTCCAGGACAGCCAGGGCTACACAGAGAAACCCTATCTTGAAAAAAAAAAAGAAAGAGAAAGGGCTGACAAATGGCTTGATGGGTAAAGGTGCTTTTGGCCATTTGAGTTGAGTCCCCAGTGGAAGGAGGTAACATACACACCCCTATGGCATGTGTATGTGTGCACACAAAGACACACAAAGTAAGTAATAAGTTTTAATAAATTTTAAAAGAAGCCTAGAACTGGAGAGTTGGCTCAGCAGTTAAGAGCACTTACTGCTCTTACAGAGAACCCAAGTTCAATTCCTTGCATCCATATGGTGGCGGCTCACAGCTATCCGAAAGTCTAGTCCTAATGTGTCTGATGCCCTCTTCTGACCTCTGAAGGCAGTAGGTACATACGAGATGCACATACATGTCAGGAAAACATTCATATGCAGAATACATGTTGGGGAAAACACATATACAGAGAAGTCCCAGCTGGGTGTGGTGGTACAAACCTTCAAAATCCCAGCACTTGGGAGGCAGAGGCAAGTAGATCTCTAAACTTAAGGCCAACCTGGTCTTTGTATTTCCAAACCAGCCAGGGATACAAAATGAAACCCTGTCTTAACAAAACAAAGAAGAAAAGCCTAGTAAGGTGATGTGTACTTGTAATCCCAGGGCCAAGTATGATGCAGACACTGCCACATATTCAGGGCCAATCAAGACTGTAGTAAGACTATCTGAATAAAAATAATCAGGCCACTGAACTACCCAGTGAGACTCTGTCATCCCAGAGAAAAGCTAGTTAGTGCCAGTGATGACAAACCTTTCCTTAGTCATTGATTTGGTGCTTGATTGTAGCATCAAAGTTAAACTTCACAGAATGTTTTTTTAGTGAATACCATTGATTAACAGTAAGATTGTCAAAAGTAATTTCCATCTCCCAACCTGGAGACCCGTTGAGCATTTTATGTGGAATTATTTTCAGGTAGCTATTAGTTTGGAATTGGATGGGTAGATAGCCTCACTGTACAGATGTGGCAGTTGAAGCTTGGGAATGTTCCAGGCCTTGGGATGAAGGAGTCAAAACAGGAGTGACTAGGTAGGTGTGGGCTGAGTCAGGGGTTCTTCAAAGGTCAAATGGTCCTTGACTCCCCCAACCCTGGCCTATGTGACCTGCCAGGACCTTCGTAGTATAGCGGACCCTGCAGAACAGATGGTCATAGTGATCAAGGCCCCTCCTGAGACCCAACTACAAGCTGTGGACTCTGCGGAGGTAAGACTCGGGACCCCAGGCCTGACCAAGACAGGGTGGGCCAGACTGATGGTCACCTGGGTCTCAGTTTACCCTGCCTGCTGCCTCCACCCAGACATTTCAGATCTCTCTTAAGAGCAAACAAGGCCCCATCGATGTTTTCCTGTGCCCTGAGGAGAGTGCAGGGGGGATCAGCCCTGGGAGGGCCCCATCCCAGGAGACGTCCTCCGGGGAAGACAGGACTGCTGACCCTGGCACTGCAGGGTCTCCACCGTCACCTCCCTCCACATCCCCCACCTTGGATCCCAGCCAATCCCTGCTAGACCTGGAGCAAGGTAGGTGGGGGTAGGGGTAGATTTGTTCCCCTGTTTGGGCAGGCAGTCATGGGAGCCCTTTTCCTGCTGAGCCATCTCTAACCTGTGACGCCTGCTTTCCTCAGAACCAGTATTGTCACGGATGGGCAGCCTGAGGGCCCCCATGGAAGAAGACCATCTGTCACCGCTGGTGGCTGCTGACTCACTCCTGGAGCATGTTCGAGAAGACTTCTCTGGGCTCCTCCCTGGGGAGTTCATCAGCCTTTCCCCACCCCACGAGGCCCTTGACTACCACTTTGGCCTTGAAGAGGGTGAAGGCATCAGAGATCTGTTTGACTGTGACTTTGGGGACCTGACCCCTCTGGATTTCTGACAGAAGCCTAGGGAGCCAGGATGCCTGGAGATGCCCACCCTGTCTGCAGCTTTGGAGCCTCCTGCCCTGGGCCATCCTTCCTGCCTCATTGGAAAAGCACGATTCATACCCTCTTCTCTGTGCAGTAGCTTCTAGTTCTGGGGTTTGGCTGCTGCCAGATTGAGCAGAGCAAAAGGAGAAGGATTTTGTGTGGGGTCTGTGTGTGTGCGCATGCATGTGTGCGTGTGCATGCGCAAATGTGTACTCCACACTGCACACTGTGTAGTTGGGGTGTATTCTCTGTGTGTGTGTGTGTGTGTGTGTGTGTACCGGGGAATGAAGGTGAACACATCTGTATGTGTGCTGCAGACACATCCTGGTGTGTCCACATGTGTGCATGAATTCATGAGTGCGCATTGGGGTGGGGTGGGACTCTAACTGCACTTTTGGTGTCCTTGCTGCAGAGGCCTTGTGAGGCCCAGGGTGGTTGCCTGCTCCCAGAATCCTGTGTGTCAGCCAGACCAGGTGGGGTAGCTTGGCTGGCTGCATTTGCAGGGCAGCAAGAGCACTGCTTAAAGGTTTTCCGATCGAAGCTTTAATGGAGCGTTTATTTATTTATCGAGGTCTCTGGCAAGCCTGGGGAATAAGCTAAGGGTGGGAGAAATATGGGGCTAATACCCCAACTTCCAATACTCTGAAGCAAGGGCAGGGTCCCCTAGCTGTATTTTTTCCCCCAACCCCAAAGGAGCTGAGGCCCAAGCAGTTTATTTATTGGGAAAGTGGGAGGCGGGAAACAGACTGACAGCCATGGATGGGTTGGAGAAATGGTCCCCTTGTAGGAGGTTGTGCCAGCACCCTAGCTGTGCCCAGATGGACTTGAGATGGAAGTGAGTGAGGACCTTCACTTACAGGGTGGACAGGAAGGTGGGATGGGTCCCTCCTGTGGTTGGAGTGCTCCTCCATTGTCCTATCCACTCTCCAGTCTGCACTTTGTTTCTTAACAGCTCTGTTCCCTCCTGCTTTGGTTTTAATAAATATTTTGATGGTGTTAGGGCTGGGTTTGGGACTCTATGCCAATGGGAGGCTAGGGTCAGAGGGAATATTCATTCCCTTTTCCTATCTGATTTCATTTCCTTTCTGTGATGTAACCACTTGAGAGGAAGAAAATGACCCAGTGACTGGTAGGAAGTCAAAAGGGAGTGTTAGAATTGGCTTGCTGTGCATCTTCCGGACATTTCTGAGCATTAGTAAAGATGCAACACACAGTGAACTGTGTTTGTGTCAGATGCTTTTGTGTGTGTGTCCTGTACCTGCAGCATGTGTTCCTCCTTTTAGTCCTGCCTTGCAAGTGAGAAAACTAAAGTTTCCTGAAAGAGGCGGGCTGAGATCTGGGAGAAGAGATCCCATGACATGCGATAACAAACCCTCAATGAGAGTCCTTTGAGCTAAGCATTCACAGTCCCTTTGACAATCTTGGGGGCGCCTATTATCCTCCACAGATGGCCACAGTTTGAGTTTGACCAGTTAATGGCTTCTTCGTTTAAAGCTTTGTCTGTCCGCACCAGACTGTGTGGAGCACCTGGTCCTGTAGAGCTGGCAGGCTGTCATTGTCAGTGACCCCTGGGATGATTCCTTACCCCACCCTTTTGGAAGCCTCTACCAGGCAGGGAAACCGAGGCCAGGTGGGGGCGGGGCCACGATTGGGCCAATGGGCGTGCGCCCCGCCCCCAGCCAGCATAGGCGGCCTGGGAACCGCAACCCGCAGCCTTGCGAGCTTCTGAACCATGGCGTGCGCTGGGTTGCTCGCTGTGTGCTTGCTTGGGCCACCCGCGCCTCAGCCGCCGCGACACCCTGTGCCTGCTGCGGGACACGCGCTTTTCCAGGATGTGAGTAGGGCACCGGTGGGCGGGTGTAGGGCTCCCCATGTCTCGGTCCTCTGTCCCTGTCTCCCTCCACATTTGTTGGTTCTGCTTCGGTCCCTCTCCCAGATTATCTGTGACCCTGCTGTTCTTGTCCCTCTGCCTTTGTGTTCCTTATACTGTCTTTGTGCCGCTCCGTGTCTCCTTGTCTCCACAATAGTGTTACTGTCCACCCCAAATTTTCCCAGTGGGGCTAGGGCTGTCAACACACAGTCACAACAGCCATGCCCAACCTGCTCCATTGCAGCCCCTGCTGGGCTGATGGGACCTGGAGGCTTGGACCTCGGAGCTCTGTCCTGCCCCAGAAGCTTCAGGCCTGATCCAAGGGTGGCAGAGTTGCACAGTTGGTAAGGGACTCCTCTCATTAGCAGCAGGTGGCACTGAAGCCCCCTTGTATGGCTATAGAGCATCCTGACCTGCCTCAGCCACTGCTCTGAAACCCCCTCCCCTTTTTAAACCTTTCATTAATGTGCTCAGCTGGTCCTGGCACTCTCCTGCCCATACTCCAGAGGTACTTGCCAGTGGGAGAGGCTGTCATGCCCCTTCCTCAATGCCCTAGTGACTCAGCACCTTGACCATGGCTCTTCAGGCCGGAGGAGACATGTTCCAGATCACAGGTGTAGTCAGGGGCACACTAGGTTGTGGATGAAAGTGTCTTCATTCCAAACGTAGCTCTTCTATCCCACCTCCCTCCCCATTACCCCAGCCAGGCCACACTGAGCTGCTGTGTGATCCCAGTCTAGTAGCAGGCCTTCTCTGAGTCAGCCTAAGGGTTACATTAGTTGTTGAGACCAGTGACCCTGAGGGACTTGGGTGGAAGAGTTTAGCATTCAGCACCCTGGTTTATGGGGGTTCTGTCCAGATCTTGAACTTGATACCCTTTGCTCAGCTGCTTTGAAGGACTGGTTCCTAGAAGGGCGGGACTTAGGATGCTGCTGTGTTGCTTCATCACTGCCTCTACAAATAAGATATGCTGAAACTTGCCATCCTCCTTACCCCTCGCATGTCCGTGTATGCACAGATGCCCGGTGTTTACAATGAGATGGCCTAAGAGGGTTAAACTCCGGCTACTCCATTACTACTAGTGGGAAAAGCAAAGCATCCACAGAGGGCTAGCCACTGCCTGCCAGTCTTCCACAGGCACAAGGGACGCTCCTGTTCAGTGAGGGTGGGTGGAGAACGGGGTGGGCTATGGGACGACACACAGAGGAGTAGGGGTTCACAGCTCAGAATGGATCGCGGCCCATCTGTCCACGCTTCCTCAAGCTGGGACCATGGCAAAGGCTGATACATCAGAGGGAACTTGGGCTAGACTCCAGCTGTGGGAGGTGGAGGTACAGAGAGCTGGCCAGGGGCCCCTACCCACTGTGCAGCGCCCTGCAGCAGGAGGGAGTCAGCATGAGGACTTGCTGTGGAATCTTCCTGTACTTCCTTGCTGGAGACTCCTGCAGGACTGCCCTGCGCAGGTGGAAGGCAATGCAGGGGCCCTGGGCAGCCAGCTGAGGCCCCACTGGCTTGGGAGGGGACTCCTGCTCTCTGGCTCCACACACAGCACCCACTCATTCCCTTTGTCCCTTAGGTCTTCCGCAGAGCAGACAAGAATGGTGAGTGTGGCTTCTTCCCCTTGGCCCCACAGTGTGTGTGTGTGTGTGTATGTGTGGGCCCCCCAGGGGTAAGAGAACTAGGGACTTTGGAGGTACAGCCTAGAGTGATGTCTTGAGACCCCCAACTGGGAGATCAAGCAGGGGATACTGCCTGGAGAACAGATGATATGCAGAATAGAGAGCAGGGAAATGGGGTTTGACCCAAGCCTGGAGGTGGGGGGCTTATGTTAAGTAGCACGTTAGTTCAGTGATGGGTGCTTGTACAAGACCTTGTGATGTTCTTCCAATAGCTTGCTAGGTGGGAATTCCTCATTCCATCTCACGGAAAAGGAGCGAAGGCTCAGAGAAGCATCGGTTGTCTAAGCCTTCAGTTAGTGGGTCTGGGACACAGACCCTGGACTAGGTGGGAGGCATCCATTCAGCCTCCCCTTTTTTCTTCCTGGGCCTTCAGACTCGTTTCAGCCTCCTTGTGTCCCCAAGTACTTGTCCTTTTACGGGCCTCTTCAGACTGCCGGGACCACTGATTTAAGACACATGCTCTCAGTGCATTCTGTGGCTGAGGCCATGCCCGCCCCGCCTTTGCTCATCACTCAGACAGAATCCCACCATCTTTAAGCGTCCTGCTCTCCTGTTCTCTGCCTCTGCTGACATGTCCCCTATGATGGGATGCTCACTCTCATCTGAGCCAGTCTGCTGCATAGTAGAGTCAAACTGTTAGAAGGCTTCACCTGGTTCTATGACCCTGGGGAAAGGCTAGTTTATGTGGCCAGGGACTGAGTCTCTAAGTCCTAAGTCATGCTCTGGTGTGTCCCAGGCTTTTTTCTTGTATTTCTTGTACACGATGGGCCCTGTTTCCTTCAGCATATATTTTTGGGGACTTTTGTCCTTTTGCCCAAAATAGTCAGAGCCACCACTAAGGTCAGAACCCTAGGCTATCTGATTGAGTGATTGAGAATGCTATTAGGCCTTTGGGGAGCCTGGATCTGGGGACAGGATGCAGCCAGGACTCAAGGATACCAACTCCATGCCATCTCCCTAGATGACGGCAAGCTCTCATTTGAAGAGTTCCAGAGTTACTTTGCGGACGGGGTTCTCAGCTCGGTGGAGCTGCGGGAGCTGTTCAGCGGCGTTGATGGACACCTCACCGAGTGAGTGCAATAGAAGCGGTGACTTGCTGCGGCAGTGCCTGGCCAGGTTGTCCTAACCCGTTGTGTCCCCTGCTGTCATGGCTCTTTCTGGAGGCCAGGGGGTGGGGGAAACATGCCAGGGCCCAGTGCCAACTTTATCCACCCACCTACACCTTCTTCAGCTCCAGCCTTGTTGCTACACTGCTTCCAGCTGGGACCCCAGAATAACCAGGCTTGAGTCACCACCCGTGCTCAACCCTTCCATTCCCATGCAGAGGATGTCTGAGGACAGCTGGGTTCTGCTGCCTCCGCCTGTGGATGTAGGTGCAGGAATACACATCTTCCCACGTGTCCACATATACACATCTGATTCAAATGTATACCCCTTCCCTGCTTCTCTGCTTGGGGACACACACGCCATGAACAAGCACAGCTGCCCTTTCCTTTCCCCTCCCGTCCCCTCCTCCTCAGTATATCCCAGACTTGATCAATTCTCAAGGCTTCAAAGGCTTGGACTGACCCTTTGAAGTGCCTATGCCCCTTTCTCCACTAAATAGATAACCACGTCAGGCTGAGTAAAAGGATGGGGACGCTGGCATCTGTGTTCAGTTCACTAGGCCCAGGTTCTAAGAGTCTGAAGGATGTTTTCTCTTTCCCTCACAGCAATTTAGAAACAGAGAAACTGTGTGGTGAGTAGGCCTATGCTGCCCTGTGTCCCAGCCCCTGGGCAGGTGGGTGTGGTAAGGGATGCTTTATGGGCTAGTCTTATGGGATAGGAAGGCTGGGACAGCTGATGAATTCCAGGCTGAAGAGATGGTGTGGGCTGGAGTCCCTGAACACATTTTCTGCCCACAGACTATTTCTCCAAACACCTGGGTGTCTATCGGCCTGTGTTGGCCGCATTGGAGTCACTGAACCGTGCGGTGCTCACTGCCATGGATACTACAAAGCTGGTGAGTGCAGGGAAGGGTTTATAGGGAACCTGAAATGAAGGCTTGGTGGTGCCGTGGACTCTGGCCTGCTATGGCTCAGGGCTATGGAATGGAACAGGTTCAGATTTGGGTATTCCCATTTAATGACTGCCCTTTACTCCCTGATCCGGTTTCCTCATCTATAAGCCAGAGGTGATAGGAACAATTAAGTGGGTGTCATGGTGGCTCACACCTGTAATACTCAGGAGACAGGCAGGAAGATTTGCTGCCAGTTTCAGACCAGCATGGCTAGAGTGAAACCCTGTTGAGGGTTGGAGAGGCAGAGATCTGGTGTTTTGTTCTTTGTTCTTTGTTCCCAGTACTCAAAACAATTCAGGCAACATAGTAGGTTTTTGTTGGTCTGATGTAATTGTTGGGACTATCAAGCCAGGACCTAGCAAGCATGTTCTAGGACATAGGAGATGAGGTCATGCATGTTCACAGGTTCATGGAGCCTATGAGGCAGGGCCTGACCTCAGGACATGTGAGAAGGCAGATATATATATATATACATATATATATATATATGCATATATATATATTATGCGCCTGCCAGCTTGTTGACCTATATTATAACCTGTGTAGGCATGTGTTGACAGCCAGAGCTCCAGACCCTTAGTGACCAAAAACAAAACAAAACAAAAATTCCCTTGCTTTGTGTATTAAGAACCATTTCCACCAAGACTGGGTAGAAACTTACACCTTTTTCTTTTTGGAGACAGTTTCTTTGTGTAGCCCTGGCTGTCCTGGAACTCACTCTATAGACCAGGCTGGCCTTGAACTCACAGAGATCTGCCTGCTTCTGCCTCTAGAGTGCTGGCATTAAAAGTGTGCACCACCACTGCCTGGAGGTAGCTTACACTTTTAACCCCAGCATTTGGAAAAGGCAGGGCAGCTTGAGACTGAACCCAGCCTGGGTGTATAGTTGAGATCCTGTCTCAAAAAACAGAAAGGTCCCTCTCCCCGTGTCCATGGCTCCTCTGGGGGTGGGGTGCTCGGGCCTGAGGCCTTACCTGACCATGCTGATTTTGGTACTTGAGGATAGGCCCTAACTGAACATGCCAGCTGCTGCCCTCTGACCCCACTTTCTACACAAAAGGGAAAATTGAGCGTCCAGGATCACCTGAGCACCCAGCCTAGACGGGCTTCTAGTTCCCTCACGTAAGAGTTATTTCTTTCAAGTGTTGTTCTTTGAGCCTGGCCCTGCTGGACTGACATTCTCTGAACGGGTGGCGGTTTGGATGTTCTAATGAAAGCAAAATGAGGATCAGAGTTAGCCCAGAAGGGGAAAAGGGAAGCCCATCCACATATAAGCCCGCCAGCTGCAAACACTTCAATCTCTTTATGTGATTCTCCGTGCTAGGACAGAGTTGTAGCCTCTGTTCTGCAGTTCCCTGGTGGCATCCATCTACTTCCATAGAAAACTCAATTGAACACTTCTCGCACCAGAAAAGGACCACACTCCTCGTACATGGCCCGAGTCACCCAGCGGCACTGAAAGGACTGCAAGGAGGCCATCATGGAACCTCCAGTCCACACAGCTGTGCCCCGCCCAGGCTGAGCCACCAGGCAGGGTTGCAGGGCCGGGTGCCCATGCCTCCGGCACTGGGCCTCTAACTCCAGGTTCATGCGTTCCACAAAGCCGGGGAAAAGGGTGGAACCACCAGCCAGCACCACCGTATTGGCCAGCCGTGTCCGCAGTGTTATGGGTATCTTCTGCAGTGCCTGGAAGGCCAATGCGGGCAATCCTGGCTCGGGATGGCCTAGGAGACTTGGCTGGAAGAGGGGTTCAGGGCAGCGAAAGCGCTCGCTGCCAAGGTGCACGTAGCAGTCATTGCCTAGGCAAAAACAGGCCCTCCGGTGGCGGGCAGGGTCACAGATATCACCCTGGAAATCTAGGGACACATAGCAGCAGCGCTTCTTGAGCTGTGTAATGGTCTTGCGGGACAGAGCCTGCAGCTGAAGATCAGGGCATGTTGTCATCAGGAGGTCTCGAAAGTAGCGCGACAGAGTGCTGCCTGCCATGTTCAGACGGAAGGTGGCCTTGTGCCACGAGTGACCTGCGTAGACGGGTGTGGCGTGGCATACGCCCGCGCCGGCCTCCACAGCCAGTCCACTTAACGCTCCAGTGGAGCAAAGTGCCAGCAGTGCCGTGCTGGCCATGTGGCACGCGGGCACTGTCAGGGCCTCGAACAGCAGCTCGGCCGTCTTCTCTCGGCCCTCCGGGGGTGCTGATGGTGAGTCGCTCACTAGCACAGGCCACTGCTCGGGGTGGACCTGCAGGCCTCCCACTATTAGGCGTTCCCACAGTCCCTCCAATGCGTCCCAGTCCACCACCACACCATGCTTGATGGGGTGCGCACGCGCCACACCGCCCGCCAGCTCGCAACCGGGTGCTCCGGGCAGCACAGGCCGGTCCCAACTTGGCATCAGACTCGAGCTCTTCAGCACAATGCGCGGCTGGCTCTCCCCAGCGAAGCCCGCCTTGGTGAAGCCGGAACCTTGGTCTACCACCACCGCAATGTGGTCCAATGAAGGCAGCCTGTGGACATGCCGGGTCCTGTGCACCGACGCCACCTTCTGGGCTCAATGTGCCCGGAAGCCCTGTGGGCCTTCTGGGCAGATAACCAGCTCTGTTCTCAGCCCCGACTCTGGCTACGAGGCCCCGCCTATTAGGGTGGCAGTTCCTTTTTGTGGCTCCACCCCAAAGAGGGGATGTGGTCCTGTTAGTCAATACTTAATTCCTCTTTAGGGTCTCAGAGTCCTGGACTCCTAGGAAGTCTCTTGGCACGTCACCTAGCTTTGCTAGAGAGTTACCTGGCCGTGGAGGTGGGAAGGAATGGTTCGAGAAGAAAGGAACTTAGATTGGGCTCATTATGACCTCAGTCTTGCGGTGCCACCCCACCCCCTTCCTCCTGAAAGGGGCTGTTGGGAGCCCGTAATAGAGAGCTGGTAGAGCAGCACAGCTGGCTAATTCTTTCTCCCAAATGCTTGGAGTATCTGTGTACTCCAGCCTCATGCACTATCCCTTCTATACCAGTTCTAAAGACAGAACTCTCAACCACACATCAACAGCTACAATGAGGAAGGACTTCCTCGTGCTCAGCTGATAGTCACACTGGGTCTGGCCTGACCCCTTCAGTTCTGAAGCTCACATAACAACCTAAGCAAGTCCAAATCTATCTTTCCGGTGTTTCTTCTTCCAAAAGATAGCAATGAGCCTCACCTCCTGGATAGACTATTCTCTTTAGGACCATTTTGGTTGCAAATAGAAGACTCAGATGCATTTAAGCTAAAATAAGAATTACATGGATACTGGATGTTTTCTGGATCACAAGGGCTAAATAGCCCTTAGGAACAGAATCTGACCACAGGGTTGTGGTTAACTGGAAAGGTCTCTTAAAGTTCCCAATTACGGTCCTGGAGAAGGGGATAGAGCCAGCATGGGCCAAGTGTGCACGTTCTGAGAACCACGTGACAGGGGAATTAGCTCTCAAGTAGATACCTATGCTGTGCATGGGTCACACATTTTCCAGCATGATTTAAGTCTGTGAACAGCGAGTGACTCTAGTGAGCTGAGACCTTTATCCTGCTACCTCTGTCCCAGAAGCAGCATTCTGAGTTGGTCATCAGTGTGCAGCAGGAAAGACACTCTGGGTTTTTGGTTTTCTGAAGCAATCTGTTGCACTGAACTCAAGACCCTTCTATCCCATCCTGTTGAGTGCCAGTATTATCTCAGCCGGTTACAATTGGAGATGGTAGCTTTAGGGTCTGGAAGCTGGGTGTGGGATCCAAGAAAACCAGCAGCTGGCTTCTGCCTGGAGCATGCTGCTTCTTTCTCAGGAGTGATGCCTGGAGCAAGACTGACATTGAAGCCTACCGGTGCCATGCCAGTGTGGAGGAGCAGGGAGCAAGCACCGAGAGGGACCGAGGGAAGACAGGCTGGGGAGCTGGGATTACACACCCCCGTTTTAGCCTTGGGCTTTAGTGGGGGTAGTGGAGAAACAGTGGCAGCTATGAACAGCGGGAAGGAACTGCTCTAGGCAGATTAGGGGTTTAGAAGAAGCTTACGGCTACTTGTGGGGTAGAGGATGGACCTGGGTACCTCAGGAGGAAAGTGCTTTGACTAAGGTACCTTAAAATTTGGGCGTGTTGGATATTTGGGAGTTATTGACCACTGTCAGGCAGGAGTAAGAGACCAGAGGCTCAAGCCCTTCTTCTTGAGTGTTACCACAGGCAGAATCTTAGGTTCCACACCACCATGGCTGAATGTTCTTCGTGGTATGATGTCTGTTAGTAGTCTGGGACCCTCCCTTGGCCTATGAGGGATTTTTGAACGTTGAGGACTCTTTGGAGACCTCAAGCCGAGTAGATTGCTCAAGCCCACCTTGAGCCTGTGGGTCTGGCATGACCTGACCTTTGTGCCACGAAGATACAGTAAGAGCAGCCCTAGGTCCAGGGCCCACTCACTCGGGGCCTCAGCTTTGAACCTGGATCCCATGGCTCGGACAAAGGTAGCAGACGACCAGGTTGCTATGCGCTCTTTATTGAGCAGAGCCCTAGCGCTGGGGACCACACCAGGCACTCAGGGCCTCGGACGAGGGCAGCGGCGCCGCTTGCGTGGCTGCTCCTCGCGGGGGTCGCTTTCACCGCAGGCCTCACGATGGGTCAGCAGATGCGCATACAGCGGCTGCCAGCCCTGCTGGGCCTTGGCGCCACCACCCCGCCCGCCTGCCCCGCGACGCCCTTCCTCCTGCAGCCGCGCGTCCAGCTGCAGCAGCAGCACCAGGATCCTTTTCATCTCCCGGGCACGAGCGCCTTCGCGCCTGTCCACGCCATCGCCTGCCCCACGCAGCATGGGCGCCACCGCTGGGAAGCATGTCGGGGCGCCGAGCACGTCCTCAGCTGGCCGCCCGGGCCGCGCATACGGGCCCGCTGCTGCCTCGGCCAGCTGCTGCCGCTTGTCCAGCGGGAAAAGCAGTACGATCTTGGTCTGGGGGTGGGCGTGTTGTGAGGGGAAGAATGCGCCCGAGCAGGGCATGAAGCCACTCCCGCGCCCCTGGAGGACCCAACCTCCCAAACCCCACGACCATGAGGGCCGTTCAACCCACAACCCGGGCAGGACCCTGCCTCCTCACAGGAGCCCATCGTCCACCCTAGGCCGATCCACTGCATACTTTCCCAGCCTTGATGCGGGGATTCTCACCCACCCGGGCGGAGTCAGGGGCCTCTCGCCATTGAAAGAAGGGGAAAGTGATGTGTTGTGAGGCCGTGGGCTGGAGAGAGGGGGTAAAGGATATTCCATGTCTGTGGCCCCAGCCTGACCCCTGGGTTCCCTATACCACCATAATGGGCTTCAGGGACCCTCCTCCTCTAAAGAGATTCTCTAACCCCTCTCATGCCTCTGGGTCTTAAGGCGTGGACCCCAGCACCCAACATCCCCCGGGCCTCCCCATACTCACACTTGGCTTCTTCCGCTTGAGGTGGCTGAAGAACTGCCTGTGACGGGCCTTGTCTGTGTCAGGCGGCCCGTCCTTGCTGGCCTGACTGGGTGCTTTGATCCTCTTGTGGGAACTGCTGTTTCCCATGGTAGGACTGGTCACTAGAGGCCACTGCCCATGCTGCCTCGGCCCTGCCCTCTACCCAGGGGTCCGGTTCGGCCCCGCCCCACCAAGTGAACTGCATTGTGAGCTCACAAGTGACCTCACCACACCAAAGCTCTACTCCTCCCCTGGAACTCCCCTGAGAATCTGGCCTCTATTCACTGTCTATGACCTCTAGTGCTTTAACAAAGCGATGCTTATAAGATGCGTAAAGGTAAGTAGAGGGGAATTTCTGCGGCTTTCATTTGAATCATGGCCTGCCACTGATTTGGTGCTTAACCTTGGCTAAGCTCTAGCTCCCAGATATGAAGTGGAATCAACTATGGTTCCTACAAATTATGATGGTTAAATGAAATTCTTGGGATGAGTCTGGTATGGGGTGAGTGGTTCTGCCAACCAGGTTTTTTGCTTGCAAACAGCAGAAAACTGATCAGTCAGTCACCTTATACCTCCAAAGGGAAGTAACCGAAGAGATGTCATGGAAACAGAACCCACAAACTTCAGGACAGGAATTAGGCATTATTCCATCCCATTTGTTACAAGTCTGGTTCAGAAGGTACCATCTTGGTTGTGCCAAGGCAGGTGATAGACAAGAAATGAAGTCTATGATAGATGTCACTGTGGAACCTGGTCTTCATGGCTCCCAAGGACTCTGAGCATCTTAAGTTTGAGTGTTTGGTGGGGGTGAGAGCTTCTAAGGGTATCCTGACTGTCCAGGTATGTAGCTGGGCAGACTACTAACAGTATGCTCCACAACACTGATGGCATTTCTAAACTGAGAATTCCGACTGCAGGCACTAGGCTTAGCCCTATGTGGCAAGTAACTGAGGGGAACCTCAATTCAGTAGGGTGGGAAAATGGAGGCACAAGGTAAAAGCAGCTGAGGAGCGTGAGTATCCCATGGTCAGTCAGCCTGTCTCTGTGCCTGGCAGTGGTGGCACACCCCTTTAATCCCAGCACTCAGGAGGCAAAAGCAGATGGATCTCTGTGAGTTCGAGGTCAGCCTGGTCTGCAGAGCAAGCTCCAGGACAGGCTCTACACTACAGAGAAACTCTGTCTTGAAAAAACAAAAATGCCCCTCCAAACAAAACAAAATTCTCTCTGTCCCTGCTTACCTTAAAGGAACTGAGGAGGAGGCTGATAGCGTAGGCTGGACTTAGTGCTGGCAAGTGTGTTTGTGTCTCTTTAGTGACCTGGATGTCTTGTGTATGTAGTGTCTCACAAAATCCATGCAGTAAATGTTGGTTACACAGACTGGTGAATGGAATAATGAAAGAACAAATGCATATGTAGATTGTGAGTTTGGGTCCAACAGGTCAGTAAGAGGCCATATCACACATCATTTTGTACCAACTGTAAAATTGGCCTTACAGCTCTGCTCCTTTACCCTGCGCCTGGCTGTGCCCAGGAGTCTCACTGGCTGTGGCAAAGATGAGGTCGAGTCTTAACAAGAGAAATTGAGATCCAGGAAAACCAGTGTACCAGTGGGTTGTGACCCTTATGACTCAAGTTCATACCTGCCAGGATTGGAAAACAAAAACAAAAACAAACCCAGCCTGGACCAGGAAGGGGGCCCTTGGAAGCCGGGCAGTGTTGCCCACCTTTAATTCTAGCACTGGGGAAGCATAGGCAGGAGGATCATGAATTCAAGGCCAGCTAAAAGGTAACACCCTGTCTCAAAACAAAACTAGAAAGTGCGTGTTGGTCTGTGCTGGGCCTGCATGCCGCGCACTTTTGACTCTACCTGTTCTCTCGCAAGTAGGGCATAGGCAGACAACAAGATAAGCTCCTCCCTCAGCCACACCTCTCTGCCCTGCCCACAGGAGTATGAACAGGCCTCCAAGGTGGACCAGTTTGTCACACGATTTCTGCTTCGGGAGACTGTGAATCAGTTACAAGCCCTGCAGAGCTCCTTGGAGGGGGCATCAGACACCCTGGAGGTCCAGGCCCGTGGTCAGCGGTGCGTGAGTGCTGTTGACCTTTGGTACGGGGTGTGAGCGCCTTTTGTTCCTGCATTCCAAACTCCTCAGTGTCACTGTCCACGGTCCTTCTGGAGGCTACATTCTTGGACAGGGAGGCCATGAGCTGATGAGAAGGGATGGGTGGTTTGGGGGCTGGGCTTCAAAGACCCAGAAGACCTGTCTTGCCCCACCTAAGCTTGGTCTTGTGCTGGAATCCCAGTCCTTGACCTTCTACTTTCTAGGTTGGATGAAGAAAACATGAAGGTGCAGAGGAGGTTCCCTGGCAGCAGGCAGGCAGGACGAAGAGCCCTGAGGAGCATCAGCTGGTCACCAACCTGCTCTCCTAGATCTGCTGATACAGGTGCGCTTGTAGCAGGGTAGGAGCTGGCTGCATAGGGTCCAGGGAAGATGTGCATCTCCTATTCTCTCAAGGCTTTTGCTTGGCCACTGTTCCCAGTTCACCCTGAGAGCACTCCCAGGTTCAGGGCCCTGGCTGATGTCCTCCTGGTTCCCTGTCAGGGTGGAATTCAGAGGCTGAGCTGCAGTGGCGGCTGCAGGTCAACCGCCTCCAGGAGCTCATAGACCAGCTTGAATGCAAGGTAAGCAGCTGGGTGGCCAGTGAGTGCCCCTGACAGACGACTTCTGTGGCACTTGCCCAAACCAATACATGTTAGAGGCTCGGCCTATATTCTTGTCCCTTGCAGGCACCCCGGCTGGAACCCCTGCATGAAGAGGACTGTGCCAAGGGTCCTGACTCGGTGAGCTTGAGCAGGAGTACTCGTGAAGAAGGGTAATGGCTTCTACTCAGACCTGGTGGGCAGGTGCTGGGTTCTGGTTCTTGCTCTGTGACCCTCTTAGGTTTTCTGTATCTCTGACAATCAGGCCTGAGGTAGGGATGGGAGCTAGAGGGCACAGTGGGAGGTGGAACAGCAGAGAGGGTCAGTGGCTTGGAGGATGGAGTCCGAGATGCTGGGAGGTCTTGTCGGTTGTGGGGACCTCACCCAACAGGGGGCAGATCTGAACCACATTAGGAAGGGTGAAGCTATACTCTGAGCCTAGCCTACCCCATGACTAGCTGATCTCTCGCCAGCACATCCTTGTGGCACAAAGGCAAGTACAGGTGGCAGAGGATGCCCTGCAGGATTTTCACCGTGCCCTGTGCTGCTACATGAACTTCACAGGGGCCCAGAGCCATTGTCTGCAGTGAGTCCCTGGCCAGTTAGTGGGGTCACTGAGGTGGGGAGGGGTGAGCACGGAGGGATGGTGGGCTGGGTGCTCTGGGCAGGGCTCCCACAAGACCACTGGCAGGTAGGCAGTGGTGATCACAGCCCTGATCCAATCTGGCTACCTCTTTGGCTCTGCAGTGTGTCTGCCGAGAAGATGCTAGACCATGCTGCCTTCACTCTATATGAGTTCTGGCAGGATGAAGCATCCTGGAGAAGGTGAGTGGTAGTTTAACATCTGACACTGAGTATGGGCCAGGACGGGTTTGGGCCAAGTTCAAGTCCTATTCTGTCCACTGGCTGTGTGACTTCAGATAACTGACCCAACATATCTGGATCCCAGATGAGATGACGTGTAAAGAATGAATGCAAATTAGGTATCAAGTGCATGCCTGTTATATCACCACTGAAGGCAGACGCAAGAGAACTCAAAGTTCAAGGCCAGACTGGGCTACACAGCAAATTCAGCACAGCCCTGTCTCAAAACAAACAAACAAACAAACAAACACAGAATAACACAAGTTGATCATGGTGGCACAAACCTAAAACCCCAGAACTTGGAGAAGGCAGAGGCAGGAGGATCAATGATTTAAGGCCAGTCCTGACTTTATAACAAGACTCTGTCTAACACAAACTCAAAAAACTCAATACAATGCCAAGTGCACAGCAGGCAATGAATGTACACTATTGTCCAGTGTATGACCCTGTGCTAGGTGTCTTCTTTTAGTCCTACATGTCCCTATCTAGTGATGTAGGTACCTTGTTCCCATTTTACCGAGGGGGAAGACTGAGGCTAGAAGTAGTAGAGGAAGGACTGGTGCCTGAGTCCAGGCAGCAGGACTAATCTTAGGTAATCCAGAGCACTGATTTAGAGCGGATGGCTGCAGCCTCTGTCTATTCTTTTCTATGGCCCTCCCAGGCACCAGCAGTCGCCCTGCAGCAAGGCCTTCCAGCGTACCCTCATCGATCACCTGCGGGCCCCGGACACTCTCACCACTGTGTTCTTCCCAGGTGCGCTGTATCCCTGTGCTCCAAACAGTTCTGGGGCCCAGGAGGGGGCAACCCCCCATAGCTCCTGACCACCCAATCTCTCACCCACAGCCTCCTGGTGGATTGTGAATAATAACTGAGTCGGGTCTGCTTAAGCTGGGGACTCTCCAGCCCAGCCTACCATTATAGAGCCTCCTGCATTGGTCAACTCTACACTAAGACCAAGTAGCTGCCTGTTCCCAGGCTAAGGGTCTGATCAGCTGGTAGAGGGTGTCAGCACAGGGACCAGGGACTGGGCTGCTTGCTTATTTATTTTAATGTTTGTAGCTTCCAAGCACCTGGGCTTCTGCCTGACTCAGGAAGCCCAGATTCTGGTTCCTTTATTCTCTGCCTTGCTGTGTGTCCCAGGCAGATCCCTTCCCTCTCTGGCTGCCTAGGGGTGTCCTGCTTTCTACTTGCTGTTTTGGGGTTAGGTTTCTGTTCTTCCTCAACCAGTGGCAGAACCAGGGCTGATGCTCAGGGACCCCCCCCAAACCCTGGAACCTTGACCCCGACCAACTCATAGTCTGTAGTGTAGAGTAGAAACCTGGGTATCTATCACTCTTCTGGGTCAGCCCTAGAATTTCTAGCATCAGTGGTTGTACCAGAGACCTCTAGAGGATCCTGGGTTGGTTTGCATGTTACCTGCATATCATTTGCATGACCTCACCCCACCCATCGGCATCTCAGGGCACTATGAGAGCCCCAAGAAGACCTTGCAGAGTAGCAATAATTTGGGCTTAGAGTTGTCTGCTGTCCCAGAGATCACTGAATCCAAGTCTGGGACCCCAGCACAGAGGCAATAAAGTTGGTGGTCACCTGTGGTGTTGCCTCTGTCTGTCTGTCTCTCTTCTCTCTCTTGGTAAGGTCAGGCTTTCCTGGCCACCTTGATGTGAAACTCGGAAGGAAGTTGCAGTTGGCTCCTAGCTGAAACTGCCTCCCAGGAAGAGGGAGGGAGCCTCATAATCCCTCTCAGCTCAAGACTATACCCCAGATCCTGCTTCCAGAGCCCTGCCTGGGAAAGGGGAATGATATGGTCCAAGCTTAGCTTCACCCTACAAAGGTGTTCCAAAGAGCCTGCTTGGCTGTATTCCTGAGTGGACCTATCTCATGCCAGAACCTGCCAAGCAAGCCTGTCCTCATCATTGTCTCCTAATAGCAAATCCAGGAGTCCTACCAGCCATAGCAGGGAGGAGGGCTCCTACAGGACAAGACTGAGAAGTAATAATGTGGACACCTGAAATGATGCCCTACAGGGAGGCGCATGGTATCACGAGCATGGAATGGATGTCACCTGTCTCACATGTGGGGATCCCAAGCTCTGAGTGGCAGGGATACTCAACTCCAGTCAACCAAGGGAAGCCAAACAAGAAGGGTACTGAGACCAGGGGGGAGGAAGGAGACAGAGGGTGCAGTTGGGGAGGCAGGGCCCTTAAAGGAGCTTCATTCTGGAGGTTGCAGTGGATCCGAAGCCAAGGTTGGTGGCCAGAGCCTGAGTGCGGCTTCATTCATGTCCCTGTGTGCCTGACTGTCATATCCTTGCTGGGTGCTGGGATATGGCCAGAAAAACACCTCTGCCGGCAGAGCACAGATCTGGCCTCCAGGCAGGGTCTTTTGTGTGGTTCTCTCTAGTGGCCTCAACAGAGAGAGGCCTGAATGCCTTGGGGCCAGCATCTGAACCCAGTAGGCTCCTGAATGTGTTGCCAGTCTCTGTTCCACATGGGCCCTGGGCCTCCGTGGAGACATCTGTTGCCCACACTGTGGTTTCAGTGTCTCCTTAGAGAAGGAACCAGTCTGGGAGGAATGATCTCTGCTGTCAGTCCTGTGTGGCAGCATCCCCACCAACAGTAATAACAGGCTCTCACAACTACAGGCATGAGCTGCAGTAAACATGCTTGCAGTGGACAAGCCATAGAAGAACAAATGAAAAAAACATCACCCTCTCTCTCTCTCTTTCTGTGTGTGTGCGTGTGTGTATTGGTCAGAGGACAACCTCAGGTATGGTTCCTTTTTTTTTAAAAAGACAATGTCTCAATGACCCAGAACATGCTGATGCTTTGCTGGCTGGCCAATAAGCCCCCAGGAATCCATCTGTCTCTACCGCCCAAGTAATGGGAGCTCACCTCTCCTTGCTTTTTAAAAATAAGGGTCTTAAAAATTTCACTGACTGAGCTAGCTCACCAGCCCCTTGCTTTGTTTTTGAGACAAGATCTTACTTTGTAGTAGCCCAGGTTAGCCTGGAAGTTGTGCTCTTCTTGCACCACACCTGGCCCCATTATCTTAAAGATGCTTCAAACTGCTGGGCAGTGGTGGCCACGCCTTTACTCCCAGGACTCGGGAGGCAGAGGCAGGTGAGTTCAAGGCCAGCCTGGTCTAGAGTTCGTTCCAGGGCAGTCCTCATAAGGGGGAGCGTTCAGAATCTCATGTCCCAGGACGTTTATCATTCAGCACTTTTGAGACAAGGTCTTCAGATAAGCCTTGAATTTGCTAAAATCTTCCTGCCTCAGCTTCCTAAGTGCTGGGACATAGGCCTATACTTAGACATGACCTTGAGGCTTTTTGTTTTTGGAAAGGGTCTTCACTATGTAGCTTGAACTTAGAGATCTCTACCTGCCTCTGCCTTTCAAGTGTTGGGGTGATTATTTTTATTCTTTTCAAGTACTGGTGATTGAACCCAGGGCACCTCACATGTTACACAAGTGCTGTTCTACAGAGCTACAGCCTCAGCCTTTCCATGTTTTATCTTAGTTTGGAGACAATGTGACACTTGGGTTAGGTGCACTGCCATGTCTGACTTCTGTTTTAACTTTCAGTTAGGTGATAGATCTCAGTAAGTTTCCAATGCAGGCCTTGAGCTTTTGATTACCCTTTCTTAGCCTCCTGAGGATGCTGGAATTAGAGGCCTTTGCTATAAGGTACAACGAACTCTTATTTAATAAGCCACCTGTATGTATACTTGCTTCCTTGCTGAAGGTTCAGAGATGCTAGGGAGAACACTGCAAGTGGAGGGAGTATGTATCCTGCTGGGAGTCCTCTAGGAGACAGGGACTTGGTTTTCCAAGCAGGGGACCTTAGTGGATGGAGATGTGGTGGGGCAGAAAAGCCGCAAAAGGGGCAGAGTGAAGAGGGGGTATCGGAGGAGGCCAGGACTCAGGCAGCTAGCTGCAATGATGTCTTGGAGTAACAAGGTCCGAAATGTATAGCTGTGAATCTCGAGTCTTAGCAATAGGAATCTGAGGCTGGGGTAGTGAGGGCGCGTTGTGTCTTTAATGATGTGTACTCCCACAGCCCACCTCTTCTCTGTCTTGCATCTTCACAACACACAGCTCAGGACAGTGACACAGCAGCTTCATCAGGCTGCACTATGTACTGGAAGGGGGCCCTCTCAATGCTCATTCCTGTGGTCACTGCATTCCTTTTAGCCAAGACCCTTCAATGGCTCCTAATTTCACTATTGCTAACATTTCTTTTCTGACATTTGAGATCTTTCCCACTCCCAATTCATGCGGTCCCTTTTCCCTAAATCACACATAGGCTGAGGGGCCATCCCCCGCTTTAGTCACCCCTCCTTGGCCTGGCGCTGATGACTACTCTAGACAAACACTGCCTCAGCCTTTCAGCAGCAGGCCAAAACCACAAACTCAGCATCACCTCCAATACCCTGGCCCCCAGAGCCTGCTATGACTAGCTCTGCAGCCCTCCCAACAGTTACTGGAGACATGTTCTGTGGCAGGCACTAGGGATAATGGAATGTTAGCAACCAGGCTGTGGCGGGCTGAGTGAGTCCTTGAGTCAGTGTTCCTTACCTAGGAGCAACTCCACCTTCCTGAACTGCCTACATCTGTGACTGGGGCCTGGCTTAGGATCAGGCAACCTAGACAGTGCCCATTGCTTAGCACCTTGTGCACCAGTTCCTGTTGATGCAGCCTTTGAGAGGATAAAAATGAGGGAGCGGACTGTAAAGTAGGGTTGTCAAGTCACTTAGCAGGGGGTAGCCCTGGCTAGCCTGTTGCTTCCCAAGCACCAGGAAAGTCATTCTTTTTTTTTTTTTTTTTTTTTGGTTTTTCGAGACAGGGTTTCTCTGTATTGTTTTGGAGGCTCTCCTGGAACTCGCTTTGTAGACCAGGCTGGCCTCGAACTCACAGAGATCCACCTGCCTCTGCCTCCCGAATGCTGGGAATAAAGGTGTGCGCCACCAACGCCCGGCTCAGGAAAGTCATTCTTGAAGCAGATGTTACTTGAATAAATCCTACAGCTTCCATGTAGAGGAACAAGGATAGGTGAGCCATTGATGGATCAGAGTGGCTGGGAAAGTGTGACAACTGTGCTAACAGCAGTTGTCTGGTCAGAGCTAGGGTGAACACCACCATTATACTTTTCTTGGTAGTGACAGGGGTTAGAGCATACTGAACTCAAACTTGTGGCAACCCCGCCTCTGCCTCATAACCACCATGGCTGGTTTAAAACCCCATAAATCATGTGTATGAGTGTATGTCCTATGTATCAGGTGCTTGAGGTCATCAGGTCTCCTGAAGCTGGAGTCCAAGGTGACTGTGAGCCTCTTGACCTGGGTTCAGGGAACTCCACTCCAGTCCTCTGGGATAGCAAGTGCTCTTAGCCAGCTCTCTAGTCCCAAAGATAAAAAACAAAACAACAAAAACAAAGCAAACCCCCCCCCCAAAAAAACCCCACATGTGTTTGCATGTGTCCAAGTGCCCTTAGAACTCAAAATCTTCTCATGGAGCTTGTTATGAGCTGAGTGCTAGGAACTGAACTTGGGTCCTCTGCAAGAGTAGTACTCTCAGCCAATAAGCCATCTCTACCCCTTAAAAAATGTTACAAGTTTTTTGTTGTCTTTTTTTTGGCACTTCATTTCTAAGTGCTGGGATTCAAGGCATGTGCCATCATACCTGTTTGGCTCCCTCCCAACTCCCAGTGCCGCCCCCCCACTTTTATTGAAAGTAGACCCCCAACATACCATTTCCCCTCCCTCTACTCCTCCAGGTCCTTTCTGCTTCCCCTCCTATCCTGACCCACTCCCTTTCAGCCTCCTGTAAGAAAACAAAAAGGGAACCAGGGAGCGGTGGTACATGTCTTTAATCCCAGCGCTTGGAAGACAGGGGCAGGTGGATCTCAGTGAGTTTGAGGCCAGGTTGGTGTATAGAGTGAGTTCCAGGACAGCCAGGACTGTTACTGGAAACCCTGTCTCAAAAAACAAACAAAAAAAAGGTCCAAGGTTCTAAGGGATAATAAGGTAAAAACAAAACTAATACATTCGAGTTGGACGAAAGAAACAGAAGGAAAAGAGCACAAGAAAGAACCAGAGACCTGCTCGTTCACATACTCAAGAATCACACAGACTACACTGGAAGCTGCAATAGATCTGTAGAGGACCTGGTGCAGACCTGTGCATACCGCTTCACTCTCTTGAGTTCATATGAGCTTTGATCATGTTGACATAGAAAGCCTTGACTTCTTGGTGTCTTCCATCCTCTCTGGCCTTTGCACTCTTTCTGCCTCCTCTTCATGGGATTCCCTGAGCCCTGAGGTATGACATCTTGTTTAAGGCTGAGTGTTCCAAAGTGACTGAGGTAGAGAGGGCCATTAGGAATCATTTTGTTGCCACTTTTTTTTTTTTATAAAGGAACACTGATATTTGGTTTTGCCCTAGGTCCCTGTGTTAGCTAATCTCAGATTCTTGGTCACCCTAGCAGTACTGGGTATGGGTTTCATCTTGTGGAGTGGGCCTTAAGTCAAGTCAGATATTAGTTGGTTCCTTAACACAAGTTTTGTGCCACCATTGTAGATCAAAGGGTTGGTTGT